TCAATTCCGGAGCTTTGCTCTTGTCCTTGTACAATCCTGCATGTCGACGCAAGCGCATGTCCAAGGGCACCACACTCGGCCGGCTTTCCCCGTGCGGCTCCAGGCTCTCTGCAAATCCTTGATAAGTGCTCAGGGAGGAAATTTCGTTACCAACCAGCTGAAGGTATAAGCGAGTGTCTTTCAGCTGCTTCAGCTGTGGAATACAAGAAAGGCCTCCTCCCAGGGTTTGCCACTTTGGCCAAACAAACAAAGCACAGATGTTCCGATGATGTGTCTTCAATATGTAGAGAAGTATATATATTCTATAGATTGAATACTACTAACCACCTAATATTATTATCAGATCATTCAATCGACCTAATTAATTCTAAAACCCAGTTCAATTTCCTAAGGTAAGTAAGATTGCTTCTAGAACTTGTAGGTTGTCCCACATCCTTTCCTTCCTTTACTTTAGATGACTAATTACCCCAAGAAAATGAATTGCAAGGTCTCGGTGGCAACGTCCAAACAACCAAACCCTCCAATCTTAAGTAACAGCGAAATCTCCACAAGTTTGGAAGCTTTACTTCCTGGAGATCATCAATCAAAGCGAATCCAAGCAGGATGGTTTGGGGCGGATGGCAGGGCTACGACAAGGTTGGTAAAAACCATCACAACAACTATCCAGCCGCAGAACAACGACTCCTGGTCCACCCTGGTGATGAGACTGAGAGGTTCTTCTATGTTCTTCTATCCAATTGGGGTGATTTTGTTATACTGTATTAATCATGAGTCATGAGTCTTATGATTAATCTACAAAATCTACAAATCCAATCATGAGTCTAAATCAATTCTAATTTATCAGTCTATTATACTATAGCATGTTCCGTGGGTCTTTGGGAACTTGCAAACAATCCAAAAAAGCTGAACGTCGGCACTGACATCGCCGATATCTTTTCCCGTCCTCAGATAAACTACCCACAGGGAGCCTTCCACCCCCAATCGCAAGAGGTCTGCGAAGTGCAGAATTTCAACACTCTTGATAAACCTCCGATCTGAAGAGGTATTTCATGGTATTTCCAAATGGGGGGGCTATGGCAGGGCTACTGTAATTCATCAAGAGTCGCCGTCTACATTAAAGGCCTGAGGGCCAAACCTCAGGGTTGGATTTCAGGGCCCAAGCCGAGTACGGATGCCGGTACGGATGCCGGTACAGTACGGTTTCAACTCGGCTATCAGGGCCGAAGGGCCGAGCGCCGCCGCATGGGTCCCCGCCGCCGCAACGGTCCGACTCGAATCGATCTCCGAAGATCGCCTGCGACCAGCACGAAGACGGCCAGCGCACCAATCTTGCGAGTCTCGCAGCTCATGGCGGGTCGAGTTTCCCAAAAAGGCCGCGGAAACCGTGGGAATCGCCCTTGAAAAGACATCAAAGAATAGGTCACCCAAGGAATCATAGCAAACCAAAATGATTCTCTTGCAGCTGTTGGGTGGTTTTTTGGGTTGCATGGTGGGGAGAAGATTTCTCGAAGGCTGGACGGTGCACGCAGTAGTGCACGGTGGTTCCATAATATGGTTCCGTGGGATCCAGTTTGGCGCTGCATCTTCCAACAGTTCAGCGGTTTTGAACCAAAATGTCACGCGAAACAGTTCATCGAGTCGAATCGAGTCTATCAGACAGCCCAAAGTGAGGAAAGGGCTGAGGTCTTGGTAGGAAAGGGCTCCAAGATCTCCACCGAAATCAAATGCAAATCAAATGAAGGTACAAGTATGTACAAGTCATCGCAAGTCACGCTGGACGTGGCCCTCTGCGGATCGGCAGGTGCTTTTTAGACCGGCCTCAAACGGGCAGGGTGCTTACTGGGTGGTTGGTGGTTTCAGGGCCATGCGTGTAAATGATATGTTCATGATGTTTCACGCACGCTTACGCATGCATACACACGCATGTTAAGGAGCTTAATAGCTATGTTCAGCTCCCATGACGTCCTCGAGGGCATCCCAGGCAGCATCCACTCCACGCCGTCGCATGAGGTCTTCCTCAGCGATCGGCGGCGTGGACGTCGCCGCGAAGAAAGGGTGGAACGGTGGGCTTCAGAAGACCCAGGCAACGCTTCATGAATCGTTTCGGCGAAAAGAGCCGCGGGGGACAAGTGGACAAGCAACCCGGACCTGGGCATATACAAAAGGGAAAATGAAAATGTCATATCACCGAAAGAGAAACCAAATTACAAGAACCCCCAGTCCCATCAATGGCCATGTTCATTCTTCTGTATGTTCTGCAAACCTCACCCACAAACAACCAAAAACGTCCAACACCTTCAAAACGCTTGGTGATTGATCATCGTTTTGCCCAGCCAAGACTGCCTACTATATTTCAAAAAGGGATCCACCTGGTTGTCATACCTCTCCCACGATCTCCCAGGGTCGCTCCCCATGGCTCCCCCGGGGTCTTCTCCGCCAAGAAACGAGCTGCGACACGGGCCCACCTGAACTCTCTCGCACCGAAGGAGACGACGTGACGGGCCCGTGAGCGCGACGGGCAACGAACACGTCGCTCTGGCCCCGCAAACACCGTGGCCCGTGAAGACATCGGACCAAAAGCTGTGGCCAAAAAGCCGGTTCGCTGGTGGCTCTCAGAGTCTGACTTGAGTCTGACTTGAGTGGAGGCTTGGGAGGGGATGAGAAAGCTTGCGTTCCTGCGAGCTAGCAACTAGCGACTGGTGCCTTCCTACCAAGTATAGTTGGATTTATGCTGACTCACAGCAGTTTGATTCCCAGCCAGCAACGGATTAGACTGAAAGGATCCTGCCCCCCGCAACAACCTACCTGCCCGAGCGTATCCTGCTTTATCCATCCAGGATACCTTTGTTCCGCTCATCGTGTCCTGAACTCTTCTGCCCTCGCCGTCCCATGGCGAGCCAACGACTCCCGCGCGTGCAGAGGCACGCGCGGGCGTCGGCACGTGGCTTTTGGCAAGGAATCTCGGAGCGGCTGGGGTCTCGCTTGAACTGTTCAACTGGGTTGAACATGATTGAAACATGAGATTGTTTTGTGGTTGCTTCTGCTTGGGTGAGTGAGGGGCGTTCAATTCCAAGCTTCGGCCTTTTATGTCGCCGTTGTGACTGGAGCATGAAACTTTAGCATGTTCTAAAGATGGTGGCCTTTAAGTTTGCAGGATGGTGTGGGTTTTCACAAGGAGTAGACGTGCAAAGCACGACACACCAGCATATGACAGTTACTCAACTAATCCATCAAATACTACCTTGGTAGTGGATGGTGACTACCAGGTAGGTGAACATCTCATGGTTCATCTGGCTAAGAGATCATCTGCTGTGCTTGTGGTGCTCGATGTAGTTGTGATATAGTATATTAATATCATATAGTATGTACTGTACAAATTCCGCCATGGTCTGTGTCTCTAGAAAGCGCTTAGGTCTTCAAACAACATCAGCCATTTGCGTAAACCTGAGCGGAATAGGGCATCAACGGCAGCGGGGACTGCTTTGGTGAATCCTTGCCCAAGTTCCAGAAAAACAAGATTGATTGATTACATACGATGCTCCTCAATGGTGGTGTCTCCATGCCTCTTCACCTTCCGCCTGTTCCAAGATCAACCCCCAGTCCATGCATGCCTTGACGGACCCTCAACATGCCGCAGCCTCCAATCCTTGAATTTAGTTTTGGATCTGGATCATTTGGACTCATCCTTGTCAGGTTTATTGCCTGAAAAAGCCTTGCATGGACTGATCATTCTTCAAGTCCTAAGAAACTCTATACAATGGTGCAACAGCTAGAACATCCAGATCATGAACCTGAACTATGACCTCTGGCGTTCTACCTCCATACTCGAAACAATCAGATTTTGGACATGTGACATGTCGCTGGACACCCGTGGCTTGTTCAGTCGGGTGAAACCGACCGATGGTGCTCACACCTGTTCGTCATCAACCTTGTCAGCCCTGTTGCTGCTTTTATTCAGTGTATATATAGAATAAACATGAAGAAACATGGACTGGAAAAAACAAAAAGTAAACCTTGTCGACCTTCTCCTACCTGGCCACATTTCCGCACATCGCATCACCACCGAAACCCCGGGCTGGGCGACCCCAACGAAATGGGGCACCTGAACCGCTGGAGCGAGGAGCGAAGGGCTTGCTCCGGTCGGTTTGACCGCTCCGCTCCGGTGTCCCCCCGATGGGCAACAAATGAAAACCCCAAAGAAGTGTTGATATGGTATAATATGGTATAATGACCTGCATCTTCATTGTACAAAAACCACATGCACATGATGTTGTTTATTTATGTTTATTTCCATAGGGAGACACCCAAGTCCTCTCGCCCTGGCTGGGTAGACTTCCGAACCAAATGCACGGCGTCGCACTGGAGGTCTCCCCATCTTAATACAAACCTTATGAAAGTGGTCCAAATTCTGCAGTGTGGGCAGTCGTTGATCGGTTCAATCCAATCATCCAAACCCAAATCCCCAAACCGATCTGTCGCCAATTCGTGACCCAACCGTCAAACTGCGCGAAGATCTGCGTCGCTGGAAGGTCAGGTCTTGCCGGTGCAGGTGGCTTTGGAACGTGCACAAACAACATCAAACAACTCAACTCTCCATAGCGCAACTTGCGGACAGTCCATGCCACAGCCCGGTTCAGGGCAGTAGGGCATGCGTCAAAACTCAACTCTCCATAAAACCGGTGGACGGGATTTGGAAGATGATTTGAGCATCTTAGGGGAGAGTTCTACCTCAGGAGTCTCGGTTCCAGGGGCGAAAAGGATGATCCACTTGAGGTCCTCGGTCCGATGGGGCATGTCCTTGCCGCGCGTATGCAAAAAGGGGGTCCCACCGAGCTAAGCTAGGAGTGGTTGTTGCATATTCCATGCATCAGTTAGTGAAGGCCAAGTCTTCATGGATTTGATTGTTTGTTTTGTGTTGCGGGTAGCTTGAGTAGCTTGATATTTGGATGCTTGAGTCCATCCTGCCTGCGCCCACGCTGGCTTCGGCCTGAGATGAATGGGGGCCAGAGTTGAAGAGTGCCAAGTCGAGTGGCTCTGGAGGTATTTCTCGAAGTGTATTGTACGATATGTTGAATCCGATGGTGGGTCACCCTTATTTAAAACAAATTAAATTAGACTTTGATAGACTTTGCAAATGATGTGTCCACCCGTTTTGACTCATCTTTCCAGCTTGTCGCGCATCAAACAGTGAGGCAACCCGCAAATAAATTGTCCTTGGCAAAAAAAGACACACATTTTTGCTTGTGTGTGTTTGTGTGTTGCATTTGCAGGAGATGATATAAGATATTATGACATACAGGTTCATGCAGTGACCCCAACTCCACAACACCCTCTTGCTAGGCGTTTCTGTACGCTGCAGGAGAGACAGGTTCATGCAACTCCAAATCAAATCCAAACCTCAAACCCAACTCTATCCAACTCAGTCCACCGTAGGCCAATCTGAGCACATAGGTTTCTTTGGAACTCTCCAGAGCAACCAATTCTGCAAACTGCAAACATTGGATCTGAATCCAACAAGGATTTGGTGAGTAAACACAGGAAAGAACCATCCTCAAATGACATAACCCATCAGCCTAGCGCCTCAGTCCTTTCTTATGGCACTCGCTACAAGTCTAAAAAAAAACACCGCATCGAAATCTTTTGGATCATGGCCTGTGACATGCATCAAGATCAACATACACCTTCTGGTGGACATCTCACTCACCTGACACAAATGTTGCTACCCTGTTCACACACGTTTTGGTTGACTTTCAAAGCACACTTCCATCATCAGAATTCACCTGCGCACAAACTCCCATGCCACCTGCGAATACGTTTTTCTCTGTCATGTGGGAATGGTGTGTTGCAGACTGGGGGGTCTGCGTGGGGTCGGGTGGGGCTGATAGCATGTTTGGTCGGTGGCCACAGGTCACAGCTTGCGTAGTTTCATTATCGGACCTGTGCGTGATCCTTGCGGTTGAAAGCACAACAAAACAGTGGAAACAAACCTCTGTGCTTCGGCGCTTCTGCCTAAAAAGGTGGTGGTGGTGGTGGTGGCAGTCGTAGTCGTAGTCGTAGTCGTAGTCGTATAGTCGTAGTCGTAGTAGTCGTCGTCGTCGTCCTAGTGGTAGTGGTAGTCGTAGTAGTTGTAGTAGTAGTCGTCGTCGTCGTCGTAGTCGTAGTCGTAGTGGCAGTGCTAGTGCTAGTCGTAGTCGTAGTAGTAGATAGTAGTAGATAGTAGTAGTTTGTAGTAGTTGGTAGTAGTTAGTAGTTAGTAGTTAGTAGGTAGTAATAGTAGTAGTAGTAGTAGCAGTAGTAGTAGTAGCAGTAGCAGTAGTAGTAGTAGCAGTAGCAGTAGCAGTAGCAGGAGCAGGAGCAGCAGCAGCAGGAGTAGTAGTAGTAGTAGTAAGTAGTAAGTAGTAAGTAAGTAGTAAGTGTTAAGTAGTAAGTAGTCATAGTAGTAGTAGTAGTAGTAGTAGAAGTAGTAGTAGTAGTAGTAAGTGGTAGTAAGTACTAGTAAGTAGTAGTAAGTAGTAGTAAGTAGTAGTAAGTAGTTGTTAATTGTAAGTAGTAGTAGTAGTAGTAGTAGTAGTAGTAGTTAGTAGTTAGTAGTTAGTAGTTAGTAGTTAGTAGTTAGTA